CGGCACGCTGGGCAGCAGGGGAGCGGGAGCTGGGGAGGAGCTCCAGACTGCCGGAGGCGATCTGCGAATGCAGGGAGGGAGCGAGGGAGGGAGTGATCTCTGCTGCAGGGGAAGCGGAGGAGGGGCTCTCTCTGGCTGTCTGAGCGCCATGTAAGTGGCACCATCCGGCCGGCTGCCCTGTTAGCCACGCATGCTCTGCATGGGGAGGGGAAATCCGGACATTTACAAATTCCCCCCCGACGCTATTTTTAGCTCAAAAAGCCGGACATGTCTGGGGGAATCCGGACGAATGGTAACCCTACTACAGGTCAGTATTTAAGTTGCGAAGGCAATGCATTCGCTTTGGTTTTCTGGCCTCAAGCCAGAACTTTTGTGAAGATTTCTAGGAACCCTTGGGTCATTAGAAAATCTTGTTCTGGCCACATGCTCCTTCTTTTTTGAAGTTTATCTAACAAAATACAGAGATTCAAATAATAGCAAATGGTTACATATGAAATAAAATCATAATGTGCATTCTAAAGCCAGACTTAATTAACTAGATAATCTCATGTCTTGTAGAGTGATGCAGGCCCAAAATCTTTGTGGGGTTTTACAAACAAGTTGGTTGGGTTTTGTAGGGATAACTTAGCTGACATGAGCAGGCCCAAGTTAAGACAAGACAAGCCTGAACAAGTAACTTCTGAACAAGCATGAACAAGTAATTGCTGAAACAACTAACTATTTGTGAATATATTTTTAGTAAAAAAGGGAGTAAGAAACTAAACTAAAATAAGCGGAACTAATAAACTTGCCTTATGCAATCTGCCAAGTGATTGGTCTTTACATGCAAGTATAGCTGTTAGTAGCTAGGAAAGACATATATAAACTGTGTAGTATGTGACATGAACTGGAAATGTGGTACAGTATCACACTATGCCTAAACTCCCTGTGTCTCAGCCTTGCTAGTGTGGGCAAAGTAATCTGAGTGATGAGTGGAGTCGAACTGAGAGCTCTCCTGCTGACAAAGCGCTGTTCACACCGGTGCTTTTTGTTGGCAAAACTTTTGTCGTTCTGGGGTGTGGTTTTTTCACACCCTGGAACAACAAAAGTTTTGTTGTTCAGGTTCCAATGTAGACAAAGCCTTTGTCATTATTCATAAACAGGACACTCCTGCTGTTTTGTTTCTTTCTGTAGATTTTCTCTCGTGTGGATTTTGCAACCTTTTGACTGGCACTGGGTCTGTATGCAAATAGGTCTCCTTTTGAGGCAGACAACATACAAATGATCAGAAAGGGAGATAAATTTCCTGCCTAAAAGGAACCTGTGTGAGGCAAATTACCTCCTGGGGACCTGCTTTAAATCCAAGACCTCAAAACATAATTTTCAATATAGATATGACTCCTTAAATATTATCCGTACATACATTTCACAATGATTATGACTACCAGTGAGCTAATGGCTCTCAGTAGAGACCTTATGTATCACTCTTTGGTGAACTATTATACATATATCTGACCCAGAGGACCCCTGTAAAACTCTATGCATTCCCTATCCCCTCTGCCAGTTGGCATCAAGAGGTCCCTGGGTCACACCATGGCTGCCTGAAATCTGCATAGCAAGAAACGAGAATAATAGAACTGAACAATACAAGGGCTTTAGATTTCAAGAAAGCAAGTGTTGTGGAATTAGGAAATCTATTCGGTATGCTATTGTGAGAGGCTGTACTAAAATTCAGAAGTGTAGAAGAGTGGGGAGACCTGAAAATACTAGGCTAGATTGTTTCGTTTATGGGGGAAACTAGTAAAAGGGTAAAATATACAACCCCAGTTTTCTCTTAAACTTTCTTTAAAAGTTTAAAAGAATTTTGACCCATTATATCAGTGCATGTTCAAAGAAACCACACATCTATTCCAGGCCAAACACCAAAGTTGACTATGCAGAGGCCAGTAGCGCTGCCTAGTTCCCTAAGTGACCATCTCCTTCCATGACAGCAGGAGTCCCATGCTTTCCCCTTCCATAGCTGCCTAAAAAACCCTAACTTTAGAGGCAGATGTTCCAAGGAACAGCTCGCATAAGTAGAACTGACTGGCTGACAGCAATATATCTGGTCAAAAAATAGAGAAAAAAACATCATGAGAATTTTGTTGACATTTTCCTTTACTTTTTTTTGTTAGTTTTTTCAATTTCAAAAATTCAAATTGAATTTCAAATTTCCTGTAGGTAATAATCCTACTTTAATAGGGGGATAGACTATATTACTACCTTGGCCTTCTGATCCTCTCATTTCTTTGAGTCTTCATCCATAAGCATTTTGGACAGGCTAGTGGTTACATTTTAAATTTTAACAATGGCACCAATAAACAATCAAACTGGGTGAAAACAAAATTCTTCCTCGGATTCTCAGATAGGTTGATGGGCAAGAAAATGCTAACTCCTGATGCCACAACAAGTTACATGGGTTCATTATTTACCAGCGCCACCTTAGCCTCAAAAATTATTCTCTTGGAAACTCATTTTTCCTTTAATTATTCAGAACCATAAATTCACCACTAGGAGACTATTATCTTGTGTGACAAAGTTCCTCCTCTATCTTGGTGAGTCCTGCGCTTATTGGTGGATTTTCTTGCCTCAGAGATTCACCATGAGGGTTGGGGAACAGCCCAGAGACCTTCCCCTCTGGGAGAACCCACAGTCCAGGTCAATTGGGAGGTTTGGGGGGAACCCGGGCCCGCCCTCTACTTCGGGTTCCAGTCCAGGGCCCTGTGGACTGCAGCTGTCTATAGTGCCTCCTGTAACAGCTACATGACAGTTACAACTCCCTGGGCTACTTCCCCATGGCCTCCTCCAAACACCTTCCTTATTCTCACCACAGGACCTTCCTCTTGGTGTCTGATAACGCTTGTGCTCCTCAGTCCTCCAGCAGCACACCCCCTCACTCTCAGCTCCTTGTGCCTCTTGCTCCCAGCTCCTCACACTCGCAGCACAAACTGAAGTGAGCTCCTTTTTAAAACCCAAGTGCCCTGATTAGCCTGCCTTCA